AAGAAAACGGCGCTTGGGGGGATGAGTGCCAGCGGCGGCTGCTGTCACTCGGGCTACGTATTCTGGCCCCCCTGCGAATGGACACGCTGGACAGGGCCTCGGACCAGCCACAACTCGCGACCCCGAAGCCTCCCATGGACGACCCCGTGGGCTCTCGGCCTCCCTCCCTCCCCCGAGGACAGGCAGACAGGGTGACTTTTCTGGGAGGGGCGAACCGCAGGGGGCTGGCGGGGTCAGCTCTCGCGACGCCCCCCCCCCCCCGAGGGAAAGCCTGTTGACACGAGGACCGATCGAACTCCCCCTCCCCCCCTCCCCCCCAGCAACTTCTGAGGGCGATGGAACATACTCGCGCGAAGTACTCGCGTCGAGCTTCTCATGCGCTATGGTTAAAAAAACCTCGCAACGACTCAACTCTGAGAGAACACGGCATACACGGATACCTTCTTCAGATGATCGCACTCTCCTGTCTTTTCTGCGATCCCAGCACCCATCCACATCGGAACTGCGTCGTGCACTTTCTTTACGTCACAAAGGAAGCCCATGCTTGATATAATGCTCCCCGTCGTTCGCCCACTGCCTGGGGCAACACACTATATATATATACATACATACATATATATACATACATATATATATATATAGACATATATACATACATACATATCGTGAATAAGTCCTGTCACTGGTGGTTTCGTCGCTGACCCCCTTCACAGCGGACGGGCACACGCCCCATTCTTGCACACAAAATCTCCGTACAGCAACGGGAGCTGCACGGCAACATTCATTTCACGTTGCGTCCATCCTCTGTCGGTCTCTTGCCATATTTTACACGTGTCGAGGTCGGCGGGTTCACCCTACGCGTCAAAGAATACATGTGCAAACTTAGATGCCGCAGTCCAACTTAGATGGCCGAACCGCGTCTGCAACTGAACTGTCTTCATAATCCTCGCCAGAGGGATTGACACACGCATGTTCTGAAACATAGGGGCGCAGTGTGCTGCCATTGTTTGGTTGCGCATCGAATTCTACAGCAGCAACGTGAATGTCCATATCGTCAGCAACGCCAAGCGCTTGACTACGTTTCCTCTCCCATTCACACCCTGCCGCGCCCGCCGTGAAGAATGAGTGATCGGTGTGCGCCTTGTGCAGGCCCGCTCGGGGGATGGAAAAGGGGCTGTCCTCACTGCAGCCTTGAGGCTCTGGGCATGTAGAACTCGAGCCCCCCCCCTTCCCAGCCCCTGCGGCGTCTAGACCTACCTGACCAGGCTCCACCAGCGGCTCGCCCTTTCCATCGCCTTTCCCCCCGCAGTGATCGCATCGTGCCGTGGCAGCCCTGGCAGAGGTGCAAACCAGAAGCTGCGTACGATGCACAAGTTCACAATTTGAGTTGTTCTGGCGTGGGTTCTTCCCCGCATGCTCGACGTCTCCCTCTCTGAAGCTCCCCTCGGCTCGACAGTGCAATCATCGGTACCACGCTCTCCACCAAGCGGCGGCACAGTAATAGACATCAGCGGGTGGGGAAACGGCCTGTACAGTATGCGGCGGAAAGTGTGTTCGGTTGCAGGTCCGCGTTCCTGACCCTGGACGCGGGAAATGGTTATGGGTGCCCTGGACGAGTCGGAGATGCTTTCGTGGGTGTGGGGTCGGTCGGGGATCCTTTCGGGCCCATCACGCCGACTAGGAGGAAGAGGAGGAGAAGGAGCAGGAGGAGGAGGAGGAGGTGTGGGCCGTATAACGAGTAGGGGGTAAGAGGACGATTGGGTACGATGCGGATGAAGATGACGATGATTATGCGGCATGACGATGGCGACAACGACGACAACTCGGAGGACTCGGACGACGACGACGATGCTGATGATGTTGAGGCTGATGATGCTGATGCTGATGATGTCGATGCTGATGCCGATGATGTCGATGCCGATGCTGATGCTGCTGATGCTGATGCAGACGATGACGATGCTAATGTCGATGATGGTGGTGCTGTTGGTTATGATGATGCAGTTGATGGTGGTGATGATGGTGATGCTGATGCTGATGATGATGACGATGGTGCTTGGGATGATGATGCTGATGATGACATTGATGATGTTGATCCTGCGCGTGGCGATGATGATGATGTTGATGATGATGGTGATGATGATTCTCTTGTGGCGATAACTCTCGTTATCAGAAAATACGGCTGACTGGCATGGCACCGAGCTGCAACATACTGGAGCGTGCGTGCGTCTGCGAACTGCCCGCTCAGCCGACCCAGCTACGGACAAACGCGATGATGTCCCTCCTGGGAGATGCCAATGAGCAGAGGGTTAGCCATGAAAAAACTCCACGGCATCATACGTGCCCTCGCAACTCCATGAGCCATCACGTCCGTAAACGCCTCAAACCCCGCTGGAATGCCCACGGAAGTGCCGCCAGAAGAAGGCTTGCCCCCGTCGGCGTTGGTGAACTCCAGACTTCGGGTGGTGCTGGGGATAAGGCGGCCGTAGCTCCCATCGTCCCCATTGAACCTATGGCTAGATTGCCCACGGCTTCAATCGCCAAGTACTTCAGGTAGCTGTAGGTCATGAAATCCCGCGGTACAAGCTGGTAACCGACAGCGACTCCGCAGATGAGGGTGAGGATAGCGAGGAAAAGGAACACGGAAGTAGGTAAAATGACCACGCCCTGATAAGTCTGTTCTTCTTTTTTATGAGGTACGACTGTTCGGACAGAGACCTCTGGGCAAGGGTCAGCAAACATGGAACCAACGTCGGAATCACTGTCGGCAGCTTCGTGGTGAACTCCGATATCTCCTCAGCCCATCTTCCGCACCAACTGGAACAGAAGGCGTGCCCGTTCTTCTTTTGCTCTCGGCACCTTGGTCGTGGGGCCACCCATGCGCTTGATGCCCTCGTCCAGGCGCTGCGCGACGGCCCTCTGCGACCACTTGCTCCCGATCTCTTTGATAAGCTCCTCGAGCGTGCCCTCGGTGAGCTTCGCCTTGTGGTCCAGCTCCGCGCAGATGAGGTGGCGCTGGAGCGGGGTGAGCACCTCGGGAGCGGTGCCCACGGGGGCGACGGCGCCCGCGGGGGCGGCCCCCGAGCTCCCACTGGTAGGCGCAGTCTGCGGAGGCGGCGGCGGGAACTCCACCGTGGGTGCCGTGTTCGTGACCGCACTCGCCATGGCCGCCTGCAGGCCTGGTGCCAGAGCCTCCGCCAGGATGCGCCCCTGCCTCGCGAACTCCTCGTCCCTCTTCTCGGCCTCCTTGGTCCTCGCGTACTCGCGGTGCGACGGGCCCTTCTTCCACATGATGCGCTCCGCCACCTTCAGCTGCTTGTCCGAGTCGTAAGACGACGAAGATGTAGTAGACGAAGACCTCGGTATCTTCTTATCCTTCTTGTTTTTCTTTCCCTTGCGACGGCCCCGATTGCGCCCGCCATCTCTTGAGTCTTCGTGTTGATCACGTTTGGCCCGAGGCCACCGATACCGGTCTCCTCCAGGTTCGTTCCGTTGATCGTAGCCCTGGCCACGGCCACCGCCTCCTTTGCTGCCGCCCCCCATCGCCCCAAGGGAAGGCAGGAACAGCTTGCCCCACGAGCGCAGTGACCGCCTTACGAGCCGCGCGGCTGGGGACGGAGGCAAAGAATGAGATAATGCACGCACAACCTCGAAGGGATAAGACAACTTGATAGGCTCGATAAACTACTCCACGATGCAAACATACAGGGCCCCCGTCGGCAACTCAAGAGTCACCCCCCTCGCGATTTTGCCCAGGAAGACTCCCCGAAGACGTGTAAAAGGTACGGGTAGATGGTCCAGGTAGGGCAAGAATGCTGATGAATGGGATGGTGACGAGCCTGCCAACCATTGCCGATTCAGTAATTCTAGCGTCCACTGAACGCACTGGTGGCCCAGGTGGATCTCAAGGTCGAGCCAGGTCACACTTCTGGGGCTGGCGCTGCTTAAGAAAACGATGCTGATAGGCTCCCTGAAAGTCGCTCGCAGACAACGAACCATGCACGTCGGACACAAACGATACGAGAACGACAAGATATCATCCACATACCTTACCCACGCAAAAAAAAAAAAAACAAATAGAACATCTGGTCCAGGAAAAATCCACCCCTCGAAATCGAGTTTGCGGGGTCTTCCAGAACGCTTGCCTCGTCGCCCAACTGAACTGCTACAGCTGCTGAACTAATAACTCCTCCTATACAGAAACCCAGCATCTCGACAACGACCTCCCCCACGCATGCTAAACTTATCATTGTTGGCGCTTTCAGGGCGTGGCCAAGCTGAGATAGGGGCAGGGCCCGCCAGGCGCGATTCCACCGGGAGGGGCCGATGCGGGTGACGCATTTGCGCCCCCGCTGCACCATCACAGAATCAGTTTTCCACCGTTCTTGAAATCTCCTGGCTGTTCTCCCCCGCGCACTCATGACCGACTCACCTTTGTTTGCCTCGAAAGCCTGATCTACGTCTACGGCTGCGCACGATAGGCCATCCAACTCGGCCCCGCAGCACTCGCAAGGCCACCCGCGGCCCCCCTCGTCAGCGACGGCACGTTCAGGGGGTGTGAGGTGGCTCAGGGTCTCCCTCAGCGCGGGGACGACGTCGTCCATGCTGAAGACTTCTCTGGAGCGGCCCGTGCCAGCCACGACCGCACGCACGGCCCGCCCCATGGTCCTCCAGCTCTTCGCGAACGGGGTGCCCGCCATGTCCACGACGCGACGGACGCAGGAGTGGCCCGCCTTGGCGCAGACGTGGCCGCCCCCTGGGTGCCAGCACTTGCTCTTGACAAAGGCGAAGACCTGAGGGATGCGAGAGGCCACTTGCCGAACTCGCCGTCGGGGAAAATCTGGAAGACCAAGGATGGCGCGTGCCTCAGCCCATACGAGACACGCGGATGGGCACATCTCTGGGCGGAAACGCCAGGCCTGTGTGTCCTTGGCCATGCCGGGCAGGAGGTGCGAGGCGTACTCTTCGGTCTTGGCGCTCCACGCTCGGGTGTGAAGTCGACCATCATGTAGGAATGTGGTTGACGAGCTCAACGATATAGCCATGCGTGTTTCTTCCTTGAGCCAAGCCTTGGGTGCTTCGGGACAGACTTGGCGGGATACCAGGTTATCTAACGCTGCGTGACATCGTCGTTGAACTCTGGGATGAAGACGCTGTTGCGAACACCAATGATGCATAGCTTCCAGGGCTGTTCTCTTGATCCGTCGCGCTGTCGGCCACCGCTTTAGCCTCCACGGAGCAGCATAAGCCACCAAAGAGGGAAGTTGGGCCCATCGTCCAAGATCTGAAACTTCCGAATCGGATACCCAAGTTTTGTGTAAATCTCGAAGAACTCGTTTTCCATTCAAGCGCTGAACCCATGTCTGGTCCTTTTGATAGCATATCTTAATGTGTTTCTGGAGCCACAATCTCGCTGGTGCCACTCGTATTTCCTGTAAGGATGACCGCACAAGCTTCTTGACCACATTCTTGTGTTTTCGCAGAAAAATTGGCAATAAGACTGGACGTACCTGTAAAGGTGGGAGCCGTAGTCGCCGAAAATGCCATTCAAGATTGCGTCGAGCTGCAAGTTGACGGCCCATACCCTTCACGTATTTGGTCAGAGAGCCCCCAGCACGATATAGAACAGAGGCGGCTTGAGCACGATCCCATGCTGGTGGGAATTCAAGTCGTGGTTTGGCCGAGGCGAAGAATGCCAGGAACAGATTGGTCCACTGCGGCTGCAAGATTGATAGTGGACCATGCTCACCTGACGTAAGTAGGAATGTGTAGCTGTACTCGTTGATACAGGGTCCTCCGCGGACCCCAACTATCAGAAATGCAATTCACCTTCTCCTCATGCTAGAGCTTATTGTTAAAGGCGTTCTGCACTGGATGCGCAAGCCAGGCTGATGAAACCGACGCTGTAGCACGAAACCGCTTATGGGGTCGCCGACGTCGGACTGGTGGTTTTAGGCGTAGAGGATCTGCTTGTTGTGTCGTGGCCCGCAGCTGCGCCACATCCAGACCGTTGCACTGCGGGTCTAGCATACCAATGAGGCTGGACTCCATGGCCAGGGCGCGCACCTCGGACTCGAAGTGGTACACCAGTAGGTAGGCCACCGAGCCCAACGTCTCCCGCAGCAAGCGATACCGTGCAATCTTTCCGTCTCGTGTGGCTGGTAGGCGGAGTGCCCGTAGATGCTCCATAGCGCGGGCCGCGATGCCCGAGGGGATCCCCGAGCGGCGATGGCCGTTGCACTTGCCAATATAGAAACCAGAGTGAGCAAACAGGATGTAGATGTAGGTGACACTCTTGGGCTCCAGGATGTCCGCGTGGACCTGCTAGATGTAATCAATACCCTTCTGCTGAATCGCTGCCTGCACTAACGGTGGTAGTGCATGCTAAACACGTCGAGCCCAAGACACCGGTCGGCTCCGTACCTGAGCTTTGTGAAGACACGCCATCGCGAGAGTTGACCAAACCATTGCCAAGTTCTCCCCCACGCCCGTAGTATTACGGCCTGCTACCTGCTGGGGGCCCGCGATCTGGTCAGCCAGCTCCGCGACGGCAAACGACAAAGATGGGATATCGTTCTGCTGCAATCTGCCAATTGCCCACTCAGATACCTCGGATCCAGCTCCGCGACCAGGGTGAAGAAGAGCCGCATGAATTTGTTCGACTTGTTCTTGAGGCCACCGGCCATGGTGAGAGGGACGCGGCCAAGGTAGCCTGACAGGCATCTGTGGGTAAACTCCGCCACTGGAAGTATGGATTGAGCCCTGCACGACCGTGAACTCGTGTTCGGCCACGCGCAGGAAGAAGATGATTCTCTTGTGGCGATAACTCTCGTTATCAGAAAGTACGGCTGACTGGCATGGCACCGAGCTGCAACAGACTGGAGCGTGCGTGCGTCTGCGAACTCCCCGTTCAGCCGACCCAGCTACGGACAAACGCGATGATGATGATGATGATGATGATGATGATGATGATGATGATGAGGTGGAGGAGGAATCGCACCCCTGAGGCGGCAAGGTTCGCCCCCTACCACATGCCATCGTCAGGCCTCCCCCCTCCTCCTTCTTCTCCTCCTCCTCCTCCTCCTCCTCCTCCTCCTCATCCTCCTCCTCCTCCTCCACACCCTTTCGCCCTGTAGCATGGCCCGACCGAGAACGACGCAGCAGCAGGAGGAGGCGGAGCGTGCCATGGAGGAGTGGCACGGGAAGGGGTGTGGTGAGGGGAGGGGGGGGGAGGGGCAGAGAGGGGAAGGGAGGTGGAGAGGAGAAGGGGAGGAGAGGAGCTACATCGGGGAGGAGGGGAAGGAGGAGACGGGAGGAGGAAGACTCTTCCACCACATGCTCCTCCTCGCTGCCACGGTGGGGGGGGGGACGTGGAGAGCCGCCCGCCTGCCATGTCGAAGATGACGTCGTTGCGGAGCTGGGGAGGGAGAAGAAAGATGAGTATGATGATAAGCCGGGAGGACGAGCGAGAGAGAGAGAGAACAACAAAATGTGGGGGGGGGGGGAAGAAAGGGGGAGAGGGAAGCAAGAGAGAGAGAGAGAACACAAAGAGAAAGAGAGAGAGAGAGAGAGCGCGAGACAGCGAAAGAGAAAGAGACAGAGGAACGAAAAAGAGACAAAAGAAGAGATGGAGAGAGAGAGAGAGAAAAAAAAAAGAGAAAGAGATAGACAGATATAGAGATAGAGAGAGACACCTAACACAAACATATATATATATATATACATATACGTATATATAGAGAGAGGGATGGAAATAAACATAGATTGAGAGGGGTAGAGAGAGGGAGGGATTTAAGTATACATATATATGTATATATATATATATGTATACCAGAGCAATCGCGCGCGGTTCGCACGCGCTCAGGTTCTAGCAGGCCCCAGGCCTTGACGAGTTCACTGCTCCACTGAAGTATGTGGACCACGGATGGTTTGAGCGGGAAGTAAAGTGCCCACCACGCTGAACGCACTATGGGCAGTGAGAAGTCCATGCATGTCAATCCGCATTATGGAAGGCTTTCGGGGAAGATGGCTGCGTCGGGGGGCGGAGGCCTGATGAATCGGGTTCCCAAAAAGGCCTTCTGGGAACATGGGTTTGGGGGGCGTCTTGGCGAGCCTGTTAGGGCGTGCCGTTGTCGTCGTCGTCGTCGTCGTAATGTCGTCGTCGCCTCTTGGGGAGCGCCGTCGTCGTCGTCGTCGTCTTCGTCTTTTCGTGGTCTTCGTCGTCGTCGTCGGTTCAAGAGTGCACTTGGGGCAACTTTGTGCGGAACGATCCGCGGAGGGCCGCGAGAAGGCGATCAGTCATGCTCCCAATCGACTTCCCAGACAAATCTCCGGTAGCGCGATTGTACTTCGGAGCCTCCGGAGACTCTCGGGCCCATGATGAACCATGTCCCCAGAAAGCTCTCTGGGAACATGATGTGTTGGGGTGTGTTGGGGGGCCTCTTTTGCGTTCCCTGGGGGCCCCTTCCTCTTGTGGCTTCCTGGGGGCCTCTTGGGGGCCTCACGGGACTTCGTGGAACCCTCTTTGTGGCCTCCGGGGGCCTACTGGGGGCCTCTAGGGCCAGATACCTCGAAATATTGGTTCGCGGTCCCCCTCTCGGCACACTCTTGGGGCGCTCTTGGGGCACACTTGTGTCGTCTGGGGAGCCTGCTAGGCCGTCTTGGCCCAAGAAAGCTCCTAGACGGCGCAGGGCGCCCTTGGAGAGCCCATCGACGGCCCAAATACTGCCCATCGACGACGGCAAGAGACCCCCCAACTCAGACAGTCAAGAGGGCCCCAAGACGGCCCTAGAGAGCCTCAAACCATTGCAAGAGGGCCCAAGAGGGCTGGCCCAAAAAGACCCGAATGTCCCTCACAACTGCCTCACGGAAGCCCTTGACGGCCCAAAAGCCGCCAAAATGGGTTTCTGGGAAACTCCTCAAGAAGAAAAAACAGAAGATGACACGTGTGACGGCTGTCCTGATCCTGCCTCGCCGCATCATCATCGTCATCGTCATCGTCATCGTCATCGTCATCGTCATCATCATCATCATCATCATCATCATCATCATCATCAGCATCATCAGCATCATCACCAGCAGCAACATCATCATCGGCAGAAGCAACAGCAGCAGCAGCGACATTCGAATCAGCATCAGCATCAGTATCAGCATCATCAACATCATCATACTACTCATCGCCACCATCAGCATCACAATCATCATCGCTGTCAACAACAGCATCAGCATCATCATCATCATCGTCGTCGTCGTCATCTTCATCATCAGTATCACCCTCCTCATCATCATCATCAGCATCGTCAGCATCGTCACCAGCATCATCATCATCATCATCACCATCATCACCAGCATGATCGTCACCATCATCATGACCGTCATCCCCCCTCTGCTCCTCCTCCCCCTTCGTCATCATCGTCATCAGCATCATCAACATCCTCAGCCTCGTCACCATCGTCATCAACATCCTCAGCCTCGTCACCATCGTCATCATCATCCTCAGCGCCACCACCACCATCAACATCATCGTCATGACAGTCATAACCATCATCATCATCACCATCATCAGGATATTGTCAATCAAGCCCAGCAGCCAGTCCTCACCCTCATCATCCTGATATCACCCTCATCATCGTCATCATCATCAGCAGCATCAGCATCATCATCCTTATCATAGTTCATCCTCGTTTCCTCCTCCTCCTCCTCCTCGTCCTTTCTCCCTCCATAAGCATCCTCATCCTCATCCACATCCTCCTCCTCCTCCTCCTCATCCTCACCATCATCACTACCACCATCATCACCACCATCAGCATCGTCATCATCATCAGCATCATCACCATCGTTATCGCACCCATCTTCATGATACTTCCCCTCCTCTCGTCATCGCCACCGCCATCTTCCCATCATCATGACCATCGTCATGATACCCCATCGACGATGTTCTTTCATCAAATACTTCGCCATTCTCACCAAAGGCCGTGGGTGCCCCCTTGGGGGGGGGGCTTGAAGGCATCTTAGAGGCCTTTCAAGGGCATATTCGAGGCAGCTTGGGAGCCTCTTGGGGTCCTCCCGGCCGCCTCCTGGAGACCTGTTGTGAGCCTCCTGGGGGTCACTTGGGGGCCCCTTCGGGCCTCTTGGAGGCCTCTTGGGGCCTCCTGGGAGCCTCTGGGGGTCTCCTGGGAGCCTCTGGGGCCGAAAGCTCGGAAGCTTGAATATGGTGTTGCACCTCTGGGACCCTCTCTTGGACTGTATTGGGGGCCTCTCGGGCCGCCTTGGGGCCCTCTTGGGGTCGTCTTGGAGCCCGTTTCCCAAAGGAAATGAAGCTAATGTTGCCTCTTGGGGCCGTCCTAGGGGCCTCCTGGAGGCCTCTTGGGAGCCTCCTGGGGGTCGCTTGGGGGCCTCTTGGGGCCTCTTGGGGGCCTCTTGGGGCATCTTGGGGGCCTCTTGGGGCCTCCTGGGAGCCTCTGGGGCCGAAAGCTCGGAATTTGAATCTGGTTGTGCACTTCTGGGGCCCCTCTGGGGCTCGTGGGCTCTCTTGGGCTGCCTTAGGGGGCCTCTCGGGCCGTCTTGGGGCCCTCTTGGGGTCGCCATGGAGCCCCCCTCTTGGGAGCCTGTGGGGCAGTCTTGGGGGCCTCTTGGGCCGTCTTGGACGCTGTGAAAGCGAAAGAAGCACATATATATATATATATATATATATATATATATATACATATACATACATACATACACACATACAATAAAGGCTTCCCCAAGGGAATGGAGCGAATTTTGCCTCTTGGGGCCCTCTTGGGGGCCTCAAGGAAGCCTTTCGGGAGCCTCCTGGGGGTCTCTTGGGGGCCTCTTGGGGCATCTTGGGGGCCTCTGGGGGCCTCCTGGGAGCCTCTGGGGCCGAAAGCTCGGAATTTGAATCTGGTGTTGCACCTCTGGGACCCCTCTTGGGCTCGTCCTGAGGGTTCTCTTGGGCTGTATCTTGGGGTGCCTCTTGGGCCGTCTTTGGGCGATCTCGGGGGCCTCTTTGGCTATCTTGGAGCGTCGGGAAGCCGCAAAGGTGAGAACCACAACAATTCCTCCAAAACCGTCGAAAAAAATCAACCGTGTGCTGCCTCTTGTGGCCCTCTTGAAAAAGCCTCTAAGAGGCATCTTGGGGCGCCTTGGAAGCCTCGTGGGCCGTCTAGGGACTACATTGACTGTCTTTGACCGATCTTGTGGCGTCTCGGAGCCCTCATGGACATCTTGGGTGCTTCCTGGGGCCGTCTTAGAGGCCTCATGGAGCCTCCCGGGCCGTCTGGAGGCCCCTTGGAGGCCAGGGCGAGGGTATTAAAAAAGGGGGGCCGATGGTTTTGAGGTGGGCGGGGCCCCCGGGCTGCGGACCTGGTATTCATCCATATTATATATAGCCCTCCGCACGCACCACGAATCTCCCTTGCGCTTTGTCTCTGTAACGTCGTAGATTCCCATAGGATTCCAGCAATCAAATTTGAAAGTTCATGTTTCGAGGGTCTTTCGGCTCGAGTCCAGAACTTCTATTGTAGCCCCTCCGCCTACAACGCAACACCCAATACTAACCACATTTCGTCGCAAACACAACGCCCACCTACTCCATAGGCCCCCCTCCCGAAGCTGAACTTGAAAATCACCTTCTATTCAACCCCCTCCGTCTACAACACAAAACCTACTACTCAACAGCCTTCGCCTCCAACCCAACACCCAATACTCAACAGGCTCCCTCCCCAAACTGGCCTTGGAAATAGTCGTCCACTCAACTTCCTCCGTCTACAACACAACACCCAATACAAGCCAGCCTTCGTCTCTGACACCCACTACTCCACAGGCCCCCTCGTCAAACTGAACTTCAGAAATAAGTCCCCTCCGTCTACAATACAACACCCATTACTCAACTGCCTTCGTTTCCAACGCAGCACCAAATACTCAACAGGTTCCCCCCCCAACTGAACTTGAGCATAACCTTATACTCCACTCCCTCCGTCCTCAACACAACACCCAGTAATCAAAAGCCTCCGTCCCTAACGCAACACCAAATACTCAACAGGCTCCCTCCACAAACTGAAATTGAAAAAACCCTTCTACGCAACTGCCTCCGTGTACAGCACAACACCCAGAACTCAACAGCCTTCGTCTCCAACACGACACCCTGTACCCCACAGCCCCCCCCTCCGAACTGGACTTGAACATAACCTTCTACTCCACCCCCCGACTACAGCTCAACACCCAGTACTCAACAGCCTTCGTCTCCAACACAACACCCACTACTCAACATGCCCCATCCCCAAACTGAACTTGAAAATCACCCTCTACTCCACTCCTCTGCCCCCACCACACCATCCAGTACTCAACAGCCTCCGTCTCCGAAACACGAACCATCCCACTACGACACCTCCGCCTTCACGGCCGGCGCACGCACCTGAACCGCCCCTGTCCTCTTGCTAAGGCGCATGGTGCGTGAGGAGACCCATACATGTATGTATAGGAAGCGAGAGGAAGAGAAA